AAAGAAATCTCATCACTTTACTTTGTTTGCTAAAGTGAGCATGATAAAGCTTTTCTTGACTTCAGATTCATACAGCCGACTACAAGTGTTGACAGGAACTTTAATGAAAACCCTTTCTTACCTGCTGTTTCAAGTTTTGTTTTCCTGTCTGAAAGCTGTCAAGAAAGAAAGAAAAAAAATCCTGTTTCCATAGCTTTCTGTTCATCTTCCTCCCCCACTTGGTGTGTAGCCCCTTCCCTCCAAAGCCAGGCTCCCCTCCCACTTCAGGGTAGGTGCAACCTCAGCTTTTCTTCCACGGGGTCAACCTGTGGGCTGCCACAGTCAGCAGTGGTCGCACCAGGGGCAAGCCCACAAACCAGAATGCCCCTTCTGGGAGCCTAACAGCAAACTCACAGGTATAGGACAGTGATTGCCAACGTGACCATAATAGGAGGCAAGAGGTCCTGAAAATGTGAATTAGACATTTTGAGTTTAATTTTACCTCCTGATTTGTTTTCCCGTTGGGTTCTGTCAGCCATTTGCCAGCCTTGGAGTGGCATGGTTGCACCGGGAGTCAGCACTGCAAGCTCCCTGTAGGCTAGGGCATGATAGATCCCTTGAAAGTGGGTTTTCTTGAGAAGTCAAAATGCTGAATGAAGCTTTTTTTTATTAGCAGGGGTTTTATTTTAGATGAAATTTTGGTGTCTGACTGTATGTTGTTTTTCTTTTTCAACGTTTCTGGTTGCTTATGTTGAGCCCTGAAGTAGACTATTTGAATACAGCACATAAATTTGTCGTGAAATGAGTTAGCAACTATTGACACCAGGTATCCAGCGATGGCTAAATGGAATTTTGATTGCAAAATCAATACATGATGTTCCAGTGCAGCTTGACTTAATTTGCTTTAAATGTGAAGTGACTGACTAACTTCTAATAGACAGCATACAATTTTTGTATAGATAATTGAGGCACTTGACACGTGTTATATTTTAAAGCTTTGTAATGTTGCTCCATTGATATTATGGTTCTTTGCTTTGTTTTACTTCAAAGTAAAAGTGAAGATCAGTTAGGATCTTCACTTTTTATTTTTGCCACCATCAAGTTTGAAAAAAACATTTAAGTTAATTCTGGTTCTTTGAATTATTTAAAAAAATAAAATAACCGGCAAATTGTTAAAGGTAATGGATTGTCTTAGGGAATGCCTCGGAGGAAAAAAAAAACCCATGTATATTACTTGTATTTCATTCTATGTCTTAGATACAGGAAGTAGCAGATAAAGTGAGACTTGTAATTAAGAATTAACATTGAAAGGAAGGACACGATGCACTGGTCTCTTTAGATGGAGCTGAGGGGAGTTTTCTCTTCCAGAAAAGAGGCTTTGTGCTTCTAGAACAGAAAGGGAACAGAATTTTAAAATGTTAAGCCTTTCTGGATTGTTTTTACTTGTAGTTCACACTTATTAGTGAAACATTATGACCTACACAAGCCTCATTAATTGGCAGTAGTGGTTAATACCTTGTTAGCTGTGGTTGATTCACCAGCTGACCTAATACAATTCGGGACAATGTACCTAATTTTATATTTCCCTAATTTCCTATTATTTAAAAAAAAAACCCACTCATTTCTCCTGGGAAATTATATCAATAGGATGAAGTAGGTTACAGACATACGGAGGACATTTGCATCCAAATAGATTATATATTGACCTATATATTTTAGCCATATAGAATTGTTTCAAGCATTTGGACCCATGATTGTATAGAGAGCACTTTTTAAGAAAATGTTTAAGATTTATTTGTTTTTATTGGAAAAGGAGATCAGATTTACAGAGATAAGGACTGATAGAGGGAAAGATCTTCCATCCATTGGTTCATTTCTCTCACCAAATAACTACAATGGCCAGAGCTGAGTTGATTCAAAGGTAGGAGACAGGAGCCAATCCAAAGCCAGGAGCTGCTACATCTTTCATGAAAGTACAGGATCCAAGTCTTTGGACCATCCTCTCCTGCTTTCCCAGGTCACAGGAAGGGAGCTAGATGGCAAGTGGAGAAGCCGGGACACAAATTGGTGCCCATATTGGATCCAGATGCTTGCAAGGTGCGGATTTAGCCCTGAGCCATCAGGTTTTTTTAATTGAACTAAAAAAAAAACTTAGAAATTTGAAGGCATTTAACATAAGTTATAGTTAGATCAGTTCATATTTGACAAAGACTGAGGTATGAATTAAGGCAACTCACTTCAGTTCTGTTTATCATCATGTGCAATGACCTAATCTTTAAACATTTGTTTATTTGAGCAGCAGAGTGACGGAGGATGAGACAGGAGACATGGGAGAGGTCTTCCATCTGCTCATTTACTCTTCACACGGTATAACAGCCCGATGTGGTCTAGGCTGAACCTGGTTCTCCCATGTGGGGGTGGTGGGAGCCCAACCACCAAGGCTGTCCTCTGCTGCTTTCCAAGCATTTTAGCAGGGAACTGGCTCGGAAAGTGAAATTTCCCGAGACTCCAGCTGCAGTTTTGATATGGGAGGCCAGCATGTCAAATGGCAGCTTGACCTGTTGTACACAATGCCATCCCTGCAAGCCCATGAAACCCACTGCTCGATGCGAACTACGTGCATACTGTCAAAATGTGATAATCCTTCAGAATGTCAGCCTACAAACCCATGGTCTGGGAAAACGTAAGGCCCAAATAGGGGTTACAAGTATTTTGAGCCTTCTAAGGTGCTTTGTAAAAATGTGATCTGGCCCAAAGGCTGTTTCCATCTGTATAAAGGTTTCACTGTGCTTCTGTGTATTATGCAAAAGATAATAAAGCATTGCTGGTGATTTTGTCCCAGATGTGTTATGGATACCATGCCAAGTAAGAAAAAAATCAAAGTCTTTTGGGAGAATCATATGCATTGATTATGAAGCACTCAAATGTGACAGGATAGATGTTACCAACAAAATAGCAGTTATTTTATGAAAATGATGGGTGCGCCAAGGAAGTCCTCTCAAGTGTGCCAACCAAATGTTTTTGGGAAAAAAAGGAATTAATTGTCAAGTTTATTTAGTTGCAAAGATTTTTGAAGTACTTGGTTTGTTTTGTTTGTTTGTCTTGGGTTTTTTGTTTTCTTTTGCCTTTTTTTTTAAATAACAAATTTTTCTGTGAAGTTTTTGAAGCTTCCTCATATTCCTAAGATTAGCCTGCTTTGGGCTGATTTTGTCTTACTTTGATTCATTTAACTTCTTCCCACACAGTCAAGTGTTTGCTGGATGGAAGCATTCCAGTCAGTTTCCCAGTTTAAAGTTGATTTGCAGAGGCCTGCCATGTGTTGTAGGTGAAACAGAGCATGTAGGTGATGTCCAAGTTTATTCTGTTCTTACGTGTCAGGAATCCACGTGGGTATCTGTAGGGTACAAGAGACCCGGGGTGAGTCCTTCTGTATGGTAGTTTCTTCCTTTGACTTAAGCCAAATGATTAATCTGACTGAACAACTTCCCTTGTAATCTCTGGGAAAAAAAAATTTGGTATGTAATTGTTCTCTTATTCTTTTAGCTTTTTAAGTAGTGTTGTTAATGAATTTGCTTTAGTGTCAATATTGCTATACTCCTGCTAACATTCTGTAGATTATGAAAGCCAATCTTTTGTTCATTGGGAATATCTTTCTCATTTGTTTTCCTGGCTTGTTTTTAGTAATGATACAGTTATTCATTCAAAAATATGCATTTATTTGATAGGCAGAATTACAGAGAAACAGAAGGAGAAACGGAGATCTTAAATGCACTGAATCACTCCTCAGCTGGCTTAAATGACTGGGACCGGGACTGGCTGAAGCCAGCAGCCAGGAGCTTCTTTTGTAGTGGCAGTGGTCCAAGAATTTGGGCCAACCTCTGCTGCTTTCCCAGGCACACTAGTAGGAAGCGTGCTAGAAAATGGAGCAGCTGGAACTCAAGTCAATACTCAGAAGGGCAGGCAGCAATTTAAACTGTCTCCCCACAACACCGGCTCCTGCTTTTGAATTTGTAAAAATTTATTGGAAAAGCAGAGAGAAAGGAAGTGAGAGCAGCAGAGACGGATGGACAGACAAGGTGGGGTCAGAGCAAAGCTGAGCGCCAAAAACGCAATCTGATTCTTCCACACGTATGACTGGATTTTCCTTATCTCAGCCATCACTGGTACTTGCAAGGTCCCCTGTTCGCAAGAAGCTAGAGGATTGAATGCAGGAATTGTGATGTGGGACACGTGTCTAAATGTCACATCCTACCTGCTTACTAGTTTTAACTGATGAACACATTCTTTTTTTAATAGAAGTTTTTGGTTTTCCCTGTTGATTTTTTAAAAGTTGTTTGAAACAGGTGTGTGTGTGTGTGTGTGTGTGTGTGTGAGAGAGAGAGAGAGAGAGAGAGAGAGAGAGAGAGAGAAAGAGAGAGAGAGAGAGAGAAACCACATCCACCAATTCATGCCCCGTATGCCAGGTGCCTAGTCCTCAGATCTCTCCTTGAAGGAACCCAGCCTAGAGAGCAATTGCCTGCTGCCTTTACACTCTCGGCACGTTAGCAGGAAGATGGAATCTGGAGTAAAGCTAGAAGCAGAATCCAGGATCTCTGACATGGGACGTGGGCACCCCAGCCACTGTTGTCACAGTCTCGAGGCACACAGACTAAAGTCTGTTTATTCTGAATCTGCCTTCCTGCAAGATTGTGTTAGTACGTTATATAGAACGGATGCCTAATGTAGGTGCTGGATTCGTTTTTTGCTATCATTACTATTGTCCAGTTCTGGCTCATATATTCAAATCTATGACTTATTTATCCTTAAATACATAGGTGGTTTTACCGGTACAAAAGTGGTAAGAGTGATTCCTTTCAGCTAACAGATCTAAAATGATGGTATTTGCTGTTAAACTCTATAATCCTAATAATGTGTAAGATGAGAAAGGGAATAATAATTATTTTGTGCTTAGCAGCCTAGTGCGTGTGAAATGACTTTCTGTAGCGTTGATTTTACAATTCTGTGTTCTGCTTTGTTTCCAGGACCGTGTGCATGTGTTAGAAACGGTAAGTTGGGGCCTTTTCACTTTCCTTGTATCCAAAGTACTGCCGCCTCCTGATGTGGATTTCAGAGCAAAAGAAGCAGTTGGAGAAAGTGCTTCTGTAGCTACAACTGACATTCAAATTCGAAAATGAACTAAATTGTCATAAAGGTATGTGAACACAGATGTTTTATGTGAAAAAATCAAAAACAAAATACTGAGCGCATTTCAGTGGTCAATATCCTGTAAGACACACATCAGGCTGTACTGATCTACAGGAAACGTAGCCATTTGAATGTCATCCATGCCTGGCGTTTTTATGTCTTTATTTCCAATCACTGACAGGATTGCCTGGAAAAAAAACCAGGTCAAAGATGCTTTCAATGCTCACGTTTGTGCTGTATTTTTGTGGCCACTGTTTAAAATAAAAAGACCAACAGCTAACTCTCCCGAATTATTTGATAAGAATCTAGTATTTGACAATAATTCTTAGGTGACAGCTGTGAAAGAGTAAGGGCTGCAATATTTATCAAAAAATTGCAACTGTAAAATGTTAACTCATGCTTGCTTTAATGGGAACATTGGGGCACATAAATAAAAACACAAGAAAGTGAGCAAAATTCATAATATTGAGTTGTTAGGCAAGAATTGTGGGTTGTAGTTTCATTCCTTTCTGTTTTCAAGTTTTAAAACATACGCATTTTTACAGTTAAAATCATGTGGTTTAGAATCACCATAAAATAAACTGTGTTACTGTCGTTCTTTGAAACATCACGCAGCTTTAAGAAATCATTTCACAGCAAGTATTGACATGCTGTTTTTCTTGAAAAAGAGAGAAAGAAAAAAGATCTGTTAATTTGAAAGTCAGAGTTGCAAAGAGAGACGGTGAGACACAGAAAGAGTTCTTTCATCAGCTAGTTTATTCCCCAGGTGGCCCGAATGGCCAAAAGTCAGGAGCCGGGAGCTTCACGTAGGTTTCCACCTGGGTGGCAGGGTGCCTCACACCTGGGTCATCCACTGCTTTCCCAGGCACATTCACAGGGGACTGGATTGGAAACAGGAGTGACAGTAGAAGCCCACCTGCGATGTGGCACCAGAAGCTGTAGCTTCACCAGTGACATTAGCCCCGCTGTGCTATTTCTTGAAAAGAGTTATATACTCAAATAACTGATGCAAATATTGATGCTAACATTTTTATTATAATGTTATTCAGAAAGCTGTGAAGTAGTATTATGGATTTTTAGGACTGGTGGTTTATTTTAACGACGTTAATCAACAAAGGTAAATTCAAATCCTGTAATCATTAAGACTAATAAAGGAGATTTTTTTCTTTAGACTGGAAACACGTTAGTAAAATGTAAGCAAACTAAAGGGTAAATATCTTCTGCCTAGGCTTTGCTGGGCCATTTAGAAAGTACACTGCCCTGCTCAGTTTCGGCATGAAGCTGTTGTAGAGGAATAAAATGCCTAGTATTCCTCATGTATGTTTTATTTACTCTTACAGAGAGTCATGCCAACTGAATTTGGCTGTGAGTTAAATGCTCTTTGACACATATGACCAAAAACAGAATTTCTGTTTTGAGAACTTGTATTCCATGTACAAAATCCCATTTACCCCTACTCAGCAAGTTACATCTTTCTTCCTCGATAAAAATGGGTATAACTAAATATCAGGTACTAGTGAGAATTAACAGAGAAAATGAATGTGAAAATATTTAGGACCAAACAGGTGTTATGTTGTCATTATGTGACTGCCTGCTATTTCTCACTTATTTCTCGAATTATCACCATAGGATACAGGAAACTGAAAAGTTCTATCAAGAATAACAAAAAACAACAAAAAAGCAATACCACATATTTGTATTTGTGCTATTACCAGCAAAATAATATAGGGCCCAGCACAGTGGTCTAGTGGCTAAAGTCCTCGCCTTAAACACGCCGGGATCCCATTTGGGCCCCGGTTCATATCCTGGCTGCTCCATTTCCATTGCAGCTCCCTGCTTGTGGCCTGGGAGGGCAGGCAAGGATGGCCCAAAGGCTCGGGACCCTGCACTCACGTGGGAGACCTGGAAAAGTCTCTAGGCTCCTGACTTTGGATCAGCTCAGCTCTGACCATTGCAGCCACTTGGGGAGTAAATCATCAGACAGAAGATCTTCTTCTCTGTATATCTGACTTTGCAATAAAAATAAATATTTTTTAAAATAATAATAATATGGAGTAGAATCTTAAATGCCTTACTTGAAGGGATCCCCTAGGATTAAAGATAAAATTAAAGACTCACCATGAAAAAGATAAAATTGATGAAATTGACTAGGATTTTTACAGTAACAATTTTATCCAGATTTAAATAACTCAATTTTAAATCAATAAAACTGTAAAAACTAAAATATTCACTAATAATGCTCAGATGTTATGAAGTCCTTTGATTTCACAGGGCATTATAAGGAGCAGGATTTAATCCGTTGGTATGCTATTCAGCTGCTGTTGTCATTCTTGAAATCAAATATGCTGAAAATGTGTTCAAACCCATCTATTATTCTCATGAAAGTCAGCATTTAAACCATAGCGAAATGTTGATGGTTGCGTTTCATTGACTCGGTAGTAGGCATGTACAGGTACACACAGCAGTATAGTTCATCAAGGTCATACACATCTGTACAAGCTTGGTATTCCATCATTCCTTGAAATAATATTTGAAAATGAGATCGTCTGTAGCTCACACTGAAAAGCTTGATTTTGCTTAGCACGAGTTAACTAATGCTTCTGTTGCCATCATACGCTCTTCTGCTTTCTTCTTTCTCGATTTTTCCCTCTTCTTCTGGTAGGTAAGTGCCCTGCACTAAAGTTTCGTTTGCGAATAAATGCTTCGGATCTGTCAGGAATTCCTAATGTGTCATAGACAGTTAATAACCACTTGTGAAAAGAATGAATTGGCGAAACTGAATGTGTTCTGTTCTTGTGTAGGATTGTAGCTTGGAAGGTAAACAGTACTTGTGTGGTGGTTGGGAGGGGAAGATTCCCCCAAAGCGCATCCATTGAGTCTTTATTTCCTAGTCTTTCTGGTAAATACTTGTTTTCTCACAAAAGCTCTAATCATTTTCGCTGAAGATTAATGTGATTTTATCTGGAGTGAAACTTCTTCAACCAAAATACAGAAACTTAGAAGTTAAATGAAAAAAAAAAAAGTCTTTATTGCAAGCCCCTGCTCACAACCCATGAGCAGAACTTTGCAGGGGATATTATATAACATCTCTGTACACATTATTCTCATTTGCAGAGCAATAAGTTAGGCATTTCATAAAATCCTTAGTTTATGTGGTAACCAAAGTTCGAAGAAGAAAATCAAGCCATGTCACAGAGCTAAGAAGTAGCTAGGATAGCATTGGAATCTGTCTACCCAACTCCTAAGCTCTTTCCTCTCACCTCATTCTGAAATCCACGGAGTCATCAGTTACCCACTACCTACTCCTTATCAATCACTGTTTAGAAGATTTATGCATATTTTATGCAATGTCCGTGGATGCTACAAAAATGCCAGGCATGTAGCTCTGAACTCAGAGTCCCTGTAGTGCATTTAAAGGGAGTCAGTCTATGTAGAAATATTAAAGGTCCACAAAAGAAGTGAAGCTAATTTCTACAGGAGATGAGGGGAGGCCGTCAACCAATCCTCTCAGGTCACTGTGCAACTTGGCCACCAAGAAACAGAAGTCCGTTTTCTACTTTTTATGTAAAATACCCATGGAGAGTTCACTGCTTTTGTCATAAATTCTATGAGCTGCTTTCAACTGTACGTTATTATGACTTTTTAATACAGTTCCCTGCTGAAGTGTCTGGGAAAATAGCAGAGGAGGGACCAGATTCTTGAGCCTCTGCATCCATGTGGAGAAGCTAGATGGAGTTCCAGGCTCTGACTTTTGGCCTTGTTCTGCCCTAACCATTGTGGGTGTTTGGGGACCAAATCACTAAGTGGAGATCTCTCTCTCTCTCTCTCTCTCTCTCTCTCACTGTCTCTCTCTCTTTATGTAATTGCGTTTAAAATAAGCAAATAGAATTCAAAATCTGCAATTGAATGCAAGTCAAAATTCATTCTCCACTGAAGACACGTAGAAAAATTTACTCTTATTTCATATTCTTTCACATTTTTTCCCTACAGTCATGACAGATAATACATAGTCAAATACCAGTTTTAGAGAGTAATAAGAGATTTTTTAGAACTTTGAAATATAAGCCAGGATCTTATTTTTCTGGGGTTACAAATGAATCCTTCCTGAATGCCAGTTTCTCATGATATTAGCTACTGAAGCACTCTTCTGAAACAAATCTTTCGAATGATTTTTCTCAGTATTTAAAAAGTCTATATTTGAAAGACAGAGACAGAAGGAGATTTCCCAAATCCCTTCAGTAAGCCGAGCTGGGCCAGACTGAAGTTGGAAGCCAAAAGCTAGTAACTGAATCAGGCTTTCCTACATGGGTGGCAGGGACCCAAGTCCTCTAGCCGTCACCTGCTGCCTCCCAGGTGTACATCATCAGGAAGCTGGAAACAGGATGAGTGGGGACTGGAAAACAAACAGGATGGGAGAATCCAAATTGACTTCATGCCGCGCTGGTATGCCAAATGCTACCCCAAACTGAGATGTTCTGTTGGGATGATTCTGGCTTCTGTGTAATTTAACGAGAGAAAGAGAGACAGAGAGAGAGTTCTGTTGTCACATTACACTGGATGTCAAATTCATTGTAATGTGGGGCAGAGAAAGCTGGAAATATAGCTCTTGAGCTAATAGAGATCCCCGAGGGCTACAGTCCGGCATGTAGGAAATGTGTATAGGAATGCAAAAGTAGTGGCAGTGCGAGAGTGGCGTGTCGAGAAACTGCATGTAGGAAAAAGGCAAGTAACCCTTGGAGATGATCCAGCCTTAGAAAATGCATTTGGGAAATTAGGAATCGGGGCAGTTTGATGCCAGTGGGTTCCTGTTTAGTAACAGAAAACTACTAATTTTAGAAGTTGGAGGCCAAGGGAAGAAAAA